AGACTACCAACAAATTAAGATACATTAGAAGAAATGAGCAAGTTTCAAGAAACAATCTGCCAAAACTGAATCATGAAGAAATAAAAAATACAAACAAAATTTTAACTAGTCAGAAAGTCACACCAATAATCAAAAATTCCCAATAAAGTAAGTTCAGGACCAGATGACTTCAATAGAAACTTGTACCCAACAACATTGAAAAAAATAAATACTCATCCTTCTGAATTCTTGCAAAAATTGAAAGAATACTTCCAACCTTATTATTTGAGGCCAATCTTACACCAAAACCAGAAAGAGATACAAGAAAACTATAGACCAATGTCCCTGGTAAATAGTGACACAAAGTCTCAAGAAAATACCCAAAACTAAATTCAACAACACACTAAAAAGATGCAAGGTTGGTTCAACATATAAAAATCAATCACTGTAATATGCCAGAATGAAAAACAAAAATCATAATTATTTCAATTGATGGAGATAAAGCAACTGACAAAAGTTTACATTCCAGCATTGTTCATTAATAGCACAGAAAGTGGAAGCACCCCAAAAATCGATGGACCCTAGAATATTTTTTTTTTTTTTTAGTTTTTAGTTTTTTATACTTGTAGACAGACAGCATGTCTGTATTTTCTTTATGTGGTGCTGAGGATAGAACCCAGTGCCTCACACAAGCTAGTCAAAAGCTCTCCAGAATTGATTTTTTAAATGTGGTATTTACATACAGTGGAATATTATTCAGCCCTAAAATGCAGGATTTCTGTCATATACTATAATGTGAGTGAATCTTCAGGGCATTATGTAACTGAAATAAGTCATCCACAAAACATATGTATTGCATGATTCCATTTATGAGGCAATCAAAGGGAACATAAAGGAACATAAAGCAGAATGGTGGTTGCTAGGAGCTGGGGGTGGTATATAACATGTGATTAATATTCAATGGGTACAAAGTTTCAGGTTGTTGTTCTTTGGGGATTGGTTTTTTGTTTTGTTTTGTGGTTTTTGTTTTTGTTTTTGGTAACAGGGATTAAACTCAGAGGCACTCAATCACTGAGCCACATCCTCAGTCCTATTTTGTATTTTATTTAGAGACAGGGTCTCACTAAATTGCTTTTAACACCTCGCCATTGCTGAGGTTGGCTTTGAACTTGGTGATCCTCCTGTCTCAGCTTCCCAAACTGCTGGGATTACAGGTGTGTGCCACCACACCCCACTGAGTTTCAGTTTTAAAAGATGAAAAAGTCCTAGGCATGTTTGTCTAACAATGTAATACAGTTAATATTTCTGAACTATATACTTTAAAAGGTGAGGTTTTCAAGATGGCAGAATAAGTAGGTTGTACAATGTTCCTGGATGCTTCGTGAAGTGAAACCAAGAAAACTGACAAGCAAGGTGAGTGAACAACAACAACAACAACAAAAAAAAGCAGGGGGACTTTACTGGAATTTAAAACTGGTCATTCAAAGCAGATCAGTCCTCAGGAGTTTGGATATAATAAAATAAGGAAGAAATCCCCAAAGGCACAGCCACTGCCACAGCCGGGCTGGAAGCTCCAGCCAGACAGATCCCTACATGAGCATAGTGGAGGGATAAGGAAATTAAAGGAACCCATGTTTTGGGGATGTCCAAGGTGTGTCTGGGTATGGAGCATTTAGAGATCAAGCACAATGGCAGTAAACCTGAAAGATAAGCTGCACAATATCCATGTGTGGGAAAAGAAGCCACCATCTCTATAGGTAGAGGACTAAGCAGCTGCTGGGGGGCGGGGGAGGGGGGGATGCCTGGCAACTGATGGGGCAGATTCCTGGCAAACTCAAGTCTGGCCTGAAATACAGGCCCAGTAAACACATGCTGTGTGATGTAGAATGTGCTAAAGTGACCAACAGAAAATCAAATATGGAGAGAGGTTTACACAGGGACAACTGGTCAAAGAAACCCACCCAGATCTAACCCTTCCTCCTTCCCTCCCCCTCCAATCCAACTGCTTGCAGGACTGGCTGGGAGAGATGCATCTAGCCAGGAACTTGGAAGGCTAGAGCAGAATAAATTGTTTGGAGAATGAACATGAGACTAGCAAATGTGGAGTCTGCAGGTAACATAGGGGACTAGGAATTGGGTCCCTGGCCACAGAGTAGAAATTAGGGGAGATCTCTGGAGTGAAGTCTTCCAGCAAGTACTGGGTGCTGGAGGTACACTGACTTAAAATCTCCAGGCAAATAAATTAGCATTCAGTAAAGAGCCTCCAGCCCTCTTAAACCTAAACCCTGCCTCCAGGAACTCTGCTACTGGATTACCTCTCTCACTCCAGCAATCTAGATGGTGGAACATCACACTCCAGAAGACCCCACCTAAAACTGCTGAGAAGAGAAGCTGAGAATATTTTGAACTTCAATGTAAAGAATTCTTTAACTTTTCATGAAGATTTTTAAAAATTCTTCTTAACTGTTTAATCGTGGCCTTAATGGTACATGGACATTTATATAGTCTCCTATTTTTTTTCTTCTCATCTCTAGTATTTTTCCTTTTTTTGGGGGGGTTGCTGGAGATTGAACCCAGAGCCTTGTGCATGTGAGGCAAGCACTCTACCAACTGAGCTATATTCCCAGCCCATCTCTAGTATTTTTTGAAGCCAGTTATTTTACATGGATTAGTTTTTTGTGAATTGCCAGTTATTTTACATGGATTAGTTTTTTGTGAATTAGGATGTTTGTTTAGTTTTATTTTGTATTCTTTTAATCTTTTTAAAAATTATTGCTTTATATATTTCTCTCCTGTTTCCCTTGATTTTCTTTTCTTCTGGAAATAGCCAGTTTGTACTATTCTTTCACTCCACCTTTAATCTTCTTCTCCTGTCTTCTCTCTTCCTCTCTCATAATCATCACATCCTATCACTTCTGTTTTATCCATGTCCACCACTTGAAAACATAAACCCTTTTGCAAACTTGCTGTTTTTATCATAGGCAATAACTCATCATGTCATTTCTGTTTATTGTGATAATTAACATTGCAGAAATCATACTAGGAACTATTTGGTTTAGTGGTATAAAGTTTCCATTGGTTGTTATTATTTGTCTCTCCCTAAACAGCGAGATACTGGAAACCTTCAGAGACACTGTTAAGTCTACTGCCTCAGATCCATACTGTTAGTTGGGTAGACACACAAACATGAAAAGGCAAGGGAACAAACTGCCCCAAGCAAACCAAGGTACTCCAATAACAGAATACATCGACATCACAGTGGAAAAAATGTCAGAGAAGGAGTTTAGAATAATACGTAGTTAAACTGATCTGTGAAGTAAAGAATGATGTAAAAGAGGAATATAGGTAAAAAAGGATCACTTCAATAAAGAGATAGAAATTCTGAAAGAAAACCAAATTCTTGAAGTGAAGTTAACAATAAACCAACTTAAAAATTCAATAGAAAGCATCATCCACAGACTAGACCACTCAGAAGACAGAACCTCAGGCAATGAAGGCACAACATATAATCTTGAAATAAAATGGACCACGGAGAGAAGATGTTAAGAAACCATTAATACAACTTCCAAGAATTATGAGATAACATAAAAAGACCAAATTTAAGATTTATCAGGATAGATGAAGGCACAGAGATACAAACGAAAGGAATGCAAAATCTTTTCAATGAAATAATATCAGAAAATTTCCCAAATCTAAAGAATGAAATGGACAATCAAATACAAGAGGCTTATTACTACAGGACTCCAAATGTGCAAAATCACAACAGACCCACATCAAGGCACATTATAATGAAAATGCCTAGCATACAGAATAAGACTAGAATTTTAAAGGCTGCAAGAGAAGAATATCAAATTACATATAGAAGAAAACCAATATGAATCTCAGCTGATTTCTCAACCCAGATTCTCAAAGTGATGAGGTCGTGGAATAACATATGGATGCCAAACAAGAATCCTACACATAAGCAAAATTAAGCTTTAGATTTGAAGACGAAATAAAAACCTTCCAAGATTAACAAAAAATAAAAGAATTTGCAACTAGAAAGTCTGCACTTCAGAATATTCTCAACAAAATATTCCATGAAGATGAACTGGGGGAAAAAAATGTGAAAACCAGTGAAGGAAGAAAGAAGAAACTACACAAAAGGAACCGTCAATCAAAGGAGAACTAATTCAAATTAAAAACTAGGATGAGCCAAAATGATGGAGAACACAAATCATATCTCAATAATAACCTTGAACATTAATGGCCAAAACTCATCAATCAAAAGACAGACTGACAGACTGGATTAAAACACAAGAGCCAACTATATGCTATCTCTAAGAGACTTACTTAATAGGCAAAGACATCTACAGACTGAAGGTGAAAGGATGGGAAAAAACATCACTCACGTGGACCATGTAAACAAGGGGTTTCTATCCTCATATCAGATAAAGTGGACTTCAAGCAAAAGTTAATCAGGACAAAAAAAGGATGTTTCATACTGCTTAAGGGAATTTTACATCAACAAGACATAACAATCATAAACATTTATGCTCCAAACAATGGAGCATCTACGATACATCAAACAAAACCTTCTCAACTTCAAGAATCAAATAGACCACAACACAACAATACTAGTGACTTTAACACACCTCTCTCTCACTACTGGACATATCTCCCAAACAAAAACTAAACTACAGAACTAAATAATACAACCAATAATTTAGATTTAACAGACATATATAGAATATTTCACCCATCAATGATTGAATGCACTTTCTTCTAAGCAGAACACAGATCATTCTCTAAAACAGCCCATATTATGTAAGCTATCACATATGTTGTCATACAATTGTAATATTACCTTAATATATTTTAGCACCTGTCAGGTTATTTTGTTAGCTCCCTTTCTATTGATATTAATTTTTGTGTTCTTGCTTTTTTCTTGATTAGACTTGTTTAATTTTTATCAAATTTTAGCTGTATTATTCTCTATTACATATATTTCTGCTCTCTTATTTTTTCCTTCCTACTACTTAATTTGAAAATAATTTGAGCTTTCCTGCCCACTCCCCCTGCACTCCCCAGCGCTGCTCTGCACAGCAAGCTCCCGGTTCCTGATAATCTAGTGCTGCTGTTGTCTCCCTCCAATCGCCATCATGATTATCTACCCAGACGTCATCAGCCGCGATGAGAAGTTCTCTGACATTTACAAGATCCAGGAGACTGTGGACGGCCTCTGCCTGGAGGTGGAGCACAAGATGGTCAGTAGGACAGAGGATAACACTGATGACTCACTCCTTGATAGAAATGCTTCGGCTGAAGGACCGGAGGTCGAAGGTACCAAAAGCACAGTAATCACTGGTGTTGGTATTGTCATGAACCATCACTTGCAGGAAACCAGCTTCACAAAAGCAGCACACAAGAAATACATGAAAGATTACATGAAATCAATCAAAGGCAAACTTGAAGAACAGAGACCAGAGAGAGTAAAACCTTTTATGGCAGGGACTGCAGAACAAATCAAGCACACCCTTGCTAATTTCAAAAATTACCAGTTCTTTATTGGTGAAAACATAAATCCAGATAGCATGGTCGCTCTCCTACACAACCATGAGAATGCTGTGACCCCATATATCATTTTTTTAAAGGATGGTTTAGAAATGGAGAAATGTTAATAAATTTGGCAGTTACTTTGGATCTATCATCTATCATCATAACTGGCTGCTGTTTGTCATCCACACAACACCAGGACTTCTGACAAATGGAACTGATCTCATCTTGAGCACATTTAGGCATTGTTTTTTAAGAAAACAAAGTTCATTTAAACTAAAAAATAATAATTTTTGATTATTATTCTAGCTTCTTTCTGATACAAGTCTTTGTTATAAATGTTCATCTCAGTACTATTTCATCAAAGAGATTCTGATATTTTAAGCTTTTATTATCACTTAGTTCAAAGTACTTTTTATATACTTGTGCTTTCTTCCTTGACCTCAGATATTTATAAGTGCACCATTTAGTTTTGAAAAGGTTGACGTGGGGGTGAGGCATTCTATATATTTTAAAGTGATTGATTTCTAATGTAATCAGTCGGGAAACAGTCTGCATGATTCGAATTTTTAAAAAAGTAATGGAAATGTTTTTTATATTGATTGTATTGATTACATAAATATCAAAACTGAAAATAAAAATAAACTTAAGAAACTAACACTTTCACATTCTCTCACACAACACACGTACACACATAAACCAATCACACAAACCAATCAAAATTTATTGAAAGACACTAAAGAATACCTAAGTAAGAAATGGTAAATGTTTTAGGGGATAATTATGCTTAACCTGACTTAAATACTGCTTAATGTAAATGTGCAATGAACTATTATATGAAACCCACTGATATGTATAAATTAAATTTTAAAAAGATAAATAAATGAAAACCCATTTCCTGTTCATGGAATAAAACACTCAATATTTTTATAATAACAATGCTCCTCAAAGGGCTCCACAGATTCAATCTGACCCCTATAAAAAGAATCCCAGAGGCCTTTTTGTGCAGTGACAGAAAAGCCAATTTTAATATTAACATGGATCTGTCCAAACTGTTAGAATGTCTCTTATCAAAAAAGAAAAAAAGTAAGCATTATTGAGAATGTGGAAAAAAGGGAGTCCTTACAGACTGTTGGTAGAAATATAAAAGTCATTATAGAAAACTCTGTGGAGTTATCTCAAAATGGTAAAAAAATTAAACAACCAGATTTAACCAGAATTCCCAATACTGAGGGGTAAATCTAAAGGAAATAAAATCAGCATGTTGAGGAGATGTCTGCATTTCCATATTTATTGCAGCACTATTTATTCAGCAAGATATAGAACCAACCTGAGTGTCTATCAATGGATGAATAATAAAGAAAATGTGACATATATACACAATATAGGATACTAATTAGTTTATTCATTGAAAAACAAAATTCTGTCATTTGTGACATGAATGAACTACGAGGACATTGTGTTAAATGAAATAAGGCAGGCAACTACAAACAAATACTGCATGATCTCATTCATGTAGAATCTTAAAAAGCTGGCCTCACGAGAGAGTAGAAATGTTTTTATCAGTCTGGGATGGGTGAGAGAAGTAGGGATGGGAAGATGTTGGTCAAACATATACATTGAGGATAAAATTCTACAATAGGCAAGTAGGAAGTAGATAAGTGATTTGGGGGCATGAGACCTGGGGAGGATGGAGAAGAGGAGAAATTGGGAACAATGGCTACTGGTTTTGAAGTTTCTTTTTTGGATGAAGAAAATGATCTAAAATTGTGGTGATGACTGCATAGCACTGGAATACTAAACACCATTGGACTGCACACTTTAAATGGGTTAATTATATATTTGAATTATCTCAATAAACTGCTTAAATGAATTAATTCTAAATACTAATTAATATCTTGGCCAAAATTTTAATAGTGAAAAGAATAGAAGCTGACGACCAAGTAAACTCAAGGTAACACACATAAAATTAAAGAAGCTTGCTTTTCTCTTATAGCACTCACAGGGAACAGTTTTACCCATCCTTGTTCCACCCTTAATTTTAGTTAGTGCATTAAAAAAAAAGAGGAAAGCATAATCATCCTAATAAAGTACCATAATAGTCATTAGATGTAAAAACAGAACAAACCTACATTATCTGTGATTTAGGCCACTGTCCTGAAAAAACAAATAAATAAAAAGTAAACATATTTTAATATGTCTTCTGATTCTACTATAATGTATAGTCCATACTTCTAGAATGGTGTGATTGTTAAAACGGGCCATTTATTCATGGTGAAAATATCTGCTAGATATCTTGGATTTTTTTTAATCCTTTACAATTTATATTAAACATCAACAGAAATTCATTCTAGATGGTGGTCTAATATTCATTAATTAAATTCACCAAAGAAGCTAAGAAAAACAATAGGTAAAGAAACAATAAGAATATGAAAGAATTGGGAAAAATGAAAATAAGAAAACATACCAGTAATCCAAAAAGCCTTTTAACTAGCAATTCATTCTTTCTGTATCTGTAAAATATTAATTAATCTACTATTTTCTTTCTTTAATACTGATATGAATTCTAATGTTAATCTAATATTCTGATTCAGAATCCTACCTAACGATTGCTCAGATAGTGTAAAGGTGTGAAGTTTTGGTGCCAGGGCTACCTCTGAAGTCTTGGTCTCCTATGTCCTATTTCGTGACTTTGAATACATCACTTTTGTTTGTAACACGTTTGAATATGTTACTTTTATATTAATATTTCTTAGTAATGTTTCTTTGGTTCTTTCCTAATAACCCATAGTAAATGAAGATTAAGGAAAGATATGTACAAAGTCTGATATATTAAGTGCTTAATAAATAATATCCATTATTGTTCAAGATAACTGTAAGAAAATATATTAAAGTTACAAAGAATGCCCACAAAATTTTATGATAGTAAATTGTTATGTATTTATTTAAACAAACATTCCCCCTTTCTCTTTCTCCCCCCCAACACACACACAAACACAAACCCTAAAGTCCACTAGACATCTGACAAAATTACCAAGAACTGATTATGTGGATATAACTATGTCAAAAATAATGTAACTTATAAGGCCTAATGAACTACACTTCAAAACAATTAGAAAGCAAAAAAGCATCAATGAAGCAGGGCTTCCAGAAACTTTAATGAGAGCAAAGTGAACCGAAGATTTTATATGCAGGTAAATTGTCCTTCCATTATCAAGAGGACTGAAAGAATTTAGAACACTAAAGTGAAAACAATGGAACTAAAAGGCAAAGGAGCAAGAGTAAAAAAATTAAGATAGAACAAATTTCTATCTTCATGAGAAGTGTTTAGAAGCAGCCGCTATTATACAGAAGATTAAAGTATATTGTTAAAAACTATCAAACAAAGCCAGGTGTGGTGGTGCACACCTGTAATTCTAACAACTCCAGAGACTGAGAGGCAAGAATACCCCAAGTTTTTGGCCACCCTGGGCAAAAAAAAAAAAAAGAAGGAAGAAAAAAGGCTGGGGCTATAGCTCAGTGGTAGAGAAGTTTAGGATTCAATCTGTATAGTACCAAACAAAAAGGCTAACAAAAGACAAAACTAATAATGATAAGCACAAATATAACTACTTTAATAAAAATTCAAATCTTCCCAAATAATGACTGTTTTAAACAGCAATGTATAAAACAATCAGTGACATAATATACAATATAAAATACGAAAGAGCTGAGTGCAAATGTGCTGTCATATTGATAAATGAGAATGGACTTAACTCACTGCTTTAAAAAAAAATGATGCTCAATGCTTGGAATTCAAGACTCAGTAATATGCAGCATATAAGAAATATACCCCACCCTCCAAAGGTGATCCAGAGATGAGGAAAATGAACAAAAGTTTAAAGGGTAAGTGAAAATAGTAAGAAGTACAAGAATATCCTAACAACAAACAAGTAGAATACAAAAGAGCATTAAACAACAACAAAAAAGAGCACTTTTAAATGCTAATAACCATAATTCACAAGAAAGATTTAGTATCTATACACATAAAGTAATACAGCACCATTTTATGATGCAAAAGCTACAGTATATGCAAGGACCAAAATAGACAAAAGCACACCCATAAGAGGAAAATTTAATACACCACTTTTAGCATAAAATAAATCAAGTGAACAACAAAAAAGATTTAAGCAACTTAATTGATAAGGTAAATTTTATAGCTATGTATCAAACTTTACACTCAATGCCCCTCTTTTGGAGTTTGAGTATGAGATGTCCTTGGAAAACTCACATGACAGTGCAGGAATGTTCAGAGGTGAACCAATTAGATTATGACAACTATAACCTAATCAGTGGATTAATTCACTTGATGGCTTAATAATCTGAATGAGTTACCGGGTGGTAACTGTGGGTAAGTGGGGCATGGATGGAGGAAGTCAGTCAATGAGGGCATGGCCTGGGAGATTATGTTTTATCCGTGACTCTTCACAAGCTCTCTCAGCTTCAAGGTGACCTTAAGCTGAGCAGCTTTCCTCTTCCTTGCCCTCTGCCTCTCCTTAGGCCCAGAGCAATGGAATCTGATGACCATGAATTGAACCCCTGAAACCATGAGTCAAAATAAACCTCCTCCTCTATGTTATTTCGGTCAGGAACTTTAGTCACAGCAACAAAAAAATAACAACCCATCCTTCTCAAGTACCCATGAGACAGTCATAAAAACTGTTCACATATTATTTAGGAATTACAATGATATAAAGAATGGAGTAGAAAGATAAGAATGAAAATTCTCTAAGGGTACAGCACTCCTATTGTGAGTGTTCTGGAAAATGGAAAAGAGATATCATACATTCGGATATTTCCCGCTTTCTAAGCCCTCTCTCTGCAACTCTTGCTCTCCCACACAAGTCCTCTTACCTTTCACCTCCCTTCTCTTTCTAATGAAGCTGCCACAGCAACTGTCCTCTCTGCCCCTCCGCCCTTCTCTCCTCCTACAACACACTAACAGGCTGCCGCTGCCCAACACACATCTCTGACAGAATTCTGAACCATACTACAAATTTAAATAAGGAGGCTTAAGTCACACAAAACATATGCTCTCAGACACCACGGTGTCTGAGAATTAAATTAGAAATTGATAACAGATTCTATCTGTAAAAAAAAAAAAATCACTAAATATTTGTGAACCATGTAACTCATTTTGACCTATGGATCAAAAAAAGGATCAAAAGGGAAATTGACAACTATTCTGAACTGAATAAAAATGAAAAAGCCAAAACAAAAC